ATTATACTTTGCTACCTCAAACAGTTTCAAAGATGACTTTATCTTTCCCACTCATCTATTTTTTTTACTTTCCATTCTTCTATTATTAACACGCGCGCGCGCGCACGCACACACACACACACACACACACACACACACACACCCCCAAAACCCTATAGAACTCTGTTGTTCTAAGATAAAAGGGTCACAAAACTCCAAGACTTAATCCCTGCTTCAGGCTAATGACAAAAAAATATATTTCATTTTTAGTTCACAGCCTGAAAAAAATTCCCATGGCAAGAAATGTTCTGAACTAGACTCTGAAAAGCAAATACATTCCTTTCTCTAAAGTTTTTCAGGATGACAAAGAAAAGAAAGGGAGTCAATACAAACTCAACTGAAACAGATCTGTTTTCAAATGTTAGCGTGTGTGTATGTACACACATTTTGAAAATCTTTATCATACATAAATAGCTACATGATAGGGCACCTTGTACTGCTAAGTAGAGAATTAAAAATAGCTCATATTTACTTCTTTTTTTAATATTTACTTCTAAGTATATCACTGAACTGCTATTGCTCCCTGGACTACAAATAAACAATTTGTTAATAATAATGTGACACAGTAACTCATGATCGGTTGCTATAAAATAGAAAGATATTGTCCTTTAAAGCAGGGTCTAGTGTATGCTGTCTGTGCATCAGGAACTGGCCAGCTGAATTACTAAAGTGCCCTTCTTGTAAGAAACAAAATATAACGGAGCTCTGGTAGCCTAGTGGCAAGAAGGTGTGCTGCAATCCCAAATGTGTGTGGTTCGAATCCACCAGATGCTCTGCTGGAGAAAGAGGGGCAATCTCTTCCTGTGCCAGTCAGATGCCATTCAACAGTATACAGCAAGTAGTTAAAAAAAAATGTAAAATTAAAAAAAAAGAGAGACAAAATATATTTGTACAACATAATTTCCATCTAGAACAAATTACCTATCCCAAGTTGACTCTAAGACATTTCTAGATCCTAATTCATTACAGTATAACGACCTCAGCCTTATCTTGCACTTTGTGTAATCTCATCATTGTGTCTCAAATTCTAAGGGCATAAAAGGTATAGATAGGCAGGACGCCCCTCCATTTTTGCTTCCTCTACAGTAAAGAATACTATTGATAAGACAGTGAACAGTATAGGAACTCTTCCTGATGCTTCATACTGTCCAGTTTTTCCTTTGCTTTGTTTCTTTTTTTCCTCGCAGTAATTAGGCCAGGAAGGAAGAAAGGAATTTCTAGTCCAGTGGTCATGCTCCACATTGGACAACATTCTTGCTGTTCCCTCCCCGGCTTCCCCTAGCCAAACGGTCTCACTAATCAGCAGGAAAAATATGCAGCAAACTATCTCCACATTCAAATATTATCCCCAACAGAGGCTGAAAGCAGCTTCTGAAAGAAACTTCTTTTACATTAAAACATTGTGGTGGTGGGTCATGGAGCACAAAGCAGTAACAGAGTAACTCTGGATTAATTTTAGTTCTGGTTATCACTGAGAATACAGAATATGTATACGACTTGACTTAATGAACGAACATTAATGTAAAACTTACCGTTTTGTGTGCTTTCAGAGTAATTAAACTCAGTATGAAATATCCAGATAATTTTAACTTTTCTTTCTATGTATGAGCTTTAATTACTAACTATTATTAATTATTATTTCTTAAAACCAAACTGAACATGGACCTAATCCACGGCTGGTATTTTTAGAGGGCATGAGATTTCTATTGATTCTTATGTTTGGTTTGGTAAGTTCTCTGGTGCTACATGGGTAGTGCTTTGTAGTACTTAACCAGACAAGTGTTAAAATCATCACTCATTTGAATTGTTTGAAAATAAGCATTCTAAAATTATGAAAAGAGTGAACTCCCTGGTTTCTCTCAATATTATCTGACTCCTGATTCATTACTAAATTTTTAATCTAGATATTCTGTATAACACACAAATGTGAAAGGGATACTGTACCAGTTTATTCTGCATATAAACCATGCTGTGTTACTTATGCAAATAAGCATGCAGATCTCTAGTTAGCATTAATATTTTAGCTACAAAACCAGACTGAACAAAAATTACTGGTAAGTGAAAAAAAAGCTTTATGTGTAAACTCGACCTGCATATTAATAACACTGTGCACATATAATAATAGATAAGCATAAAACTTACAATGTGAGTAGATAAATTGACTAAACTAAGCCAGAACTGAAGTTTTAACAAATCTCAATAATAATTCCATATGCATTATTTGCATACAAAATAGATTACAATTCCTTGGCGCCATTTTTTTCGCCTAAGGAAAATAATTTACTATTAATGTGAATATTTTAAAAATCAAAATAGAAACTATTTCCAGGAATGCAAATTATTCACACAAATAGGATTTGCTACACATTGAAAGCAAAGTGCTTTAACTTAGCTTTTAAAAAAAGTGTGGAAAGCATGCAAAAAGAGATGTGTTGAAATATTCACTCTGGAAATTACATCCAAGTTCTCTACTCTAAAGTCAATAAGCATAAGACATTTGCAAACATTTAATATTTAATGTTAATAAGATAAATCATCTCTAACCACAGAGGAAAACTGGGCTTTACCAGTTTCAGTCATATTCTGAAACATACCCCGGATTTTGTGATTCTGTTCCCCTCCCGGTAGCTCCACAATCTAGGACTTTGAGGGTCAAAGAGACGTTTCAACACACTTTGAGAAACTACTGAGAATCCAGCAAGATGCTTGCTGGAAATTGTAGGAGATACTAAGTTTGTGTTAACTGGCCCCCAGTTGCCACGTTTCAGCCACCTGCGAAACTGAGTCTTGACCAAAAGTGGTTTATGGCCCTTCCAAAGAGGATAACTTATTTCATTGAAAAGAGCACTGATATTAGAAAAAGAAACTGGCAAGCATGCATTGCTGGGGAAATGGCTGCAGGTGAGCTAGTCTGAGGAAACACGAGATGAACATGGAGAAAGATAAAGGCCTCAGTGAACTTGTGTCAACAGACATGAGTAGAAATTGATTAAATGAAAGCAATACCCTTGTTGGTAGAAATGTGTTAATCATCTGATCATTTATTCCTATGTGTGTTTGACTGGACCCCAACCTAAGCCACAAAAAGAACGGGAAGTATACATCAGACAGTACAGATCAATTTATAGGTCACAGGGACGTAAGAAGCTCGGGAAAACAGTATCTACTTATTCTTACCCTTCCTCTTCCTTTACAAACAAAATCAAAGCATGCAGGAATCCCTAAAGATCCAACACATAACAAGAGGGAAAGTCTAAACAAATTCTTAGAAAATGATGTGTGATATCAACTGTATCTTTGAACATCCAGATCCCATGATTCACACAAGACTCTGCTCTACTAACGAGTGTCATTTTGTATCTATCACAAAGATTTGGTTCTAAGATGCTTTGATCCGTTCTCAGAAGGCTGGCCAATTCTCCACACATTATTTTACTGAAATCTTTTCTGTTCCAAAGTCTAAAAAGAAAATATATAATAACGATGATAAGCTCTTAAATAATTATGTAAAATTTATCAAAATTAGAATAAATAATAACTGTAGGGGTTTCTGAATTGCATATTTGAAAGCTTTTTAAAAAACACAAACCCTGGCATAAGCCTACTATAGCACTTTTGTTATGTGAGAAGGAACCAAACCACAGCTAACCCTCCAGTGGGGTGTCAGAGGCAGTGTCTTTTCAAGCAGCATGATAGGAGATATTCTATCTTCTTCCTGCAGAGCAGCTGGTGGGTTTGAACCATGTGCCTTTGGGATTGCAGCACAGCTGCTTACCATTAGGCCACCAGAGGGGGGCTAGAATCTAGTTTGGAAATCGTCTGCAGCAGCCCGATTCTACAGAGGTTTGTTTGCTGGTTCTGGTGAGGATTAGGGTAGAATACTGACTTGCTAATGGGTGTGAGCTGATTTGATTTGGCCTCCTATTTAAAAATGCATTTGGGATGGTTTTAATTGTTTTTGGTCAAACAGTCTTCTAAGTGGTATAGCACTGGTCTGACCATTTGCTGTACAGAGGTAACTCATGGTTGCTGTGATGCTAAACACTGTGACACTGATGCAGCAAATGTGATAATGGTTACCCATGGTGAACAGAGTTTGGTGGAGCTTCCTGATTAAAACAAGCTTAGAAGCAGGAGTGGCATCCACTTCTTCCATAATAGCTTGTCTCCAGAAACTCTATGAATGTGGAGAAACGATGAAAATTACTCAAGTATTCAGGTCTTTGATTCAAAGGGTCGCTATGGGCTGTCTACGACTCCACGGCACTTAACAACAACAGGCCACCAGAGCTCCCATAGAATATTTTTAAACAAGAAAATTTTTATAGACTATAAACATGAAACAAATGTTACACATCAAATTACATTTTAAAATTTCATTTCAGTATATTCTATTATAATAGAGTATGGCAAATAACCTGTTCATTTTATAAACAATCAAAATATGAGGTTAAAAGCAATTTAAAGTGCTCCTACACTGTCTGAAAGTAAGTTTCCAAGAATTGAATCCAAACTTCCTGAGATTATAAAAATCTATAAAAGGAAAGTTTTAGAATCAAACATAATAAAAGTATAATTATACCTATCAAAACCAAAAAAAGCTTTTAAGCATTATGATAGTTAAACTACTTCAGTGTTTGAATCCTCTAATAACAGCTTCAGGTAAGGCAACGTTGTGAGGTCATATTTGAATTTTTTTTTTTTTTACTTGAAATTAAACATATTCCCTAAAAATACATTTTGGTGTAGGTCACATCTAATCCTCCAGAAAAGTAAAACATTTCACAGATTTACAGTTTGATCCTGGGTTTCGATTTTTTTCCTGTTTTGTTTTTGGTATTTAACACAAATCCAGGTGAAGGACAAAAACACTAGTTCAATGACACATGTGTCAGTAAAACCATTCTCATCAGCAGGTAAAATAATGCTGCATTAAAGTAAAAGAATTAAGAGTGGCTTACCAACTCCAAAAGTTCTACTTCTGTTTGAAGAGCTTCATAAATACTTTCCATGTCATCTTCTTTATAAAGTTCTAATTCTTTTTTAAGTCTGTTTCCAGAGAAATATTAATTCTATCAGTTTAGCAGAAAGGCATGTTTTATGTTTTTTATTATAAGGAGAGTAGTGTTCAGAATTTTAAATTAAAAAGAACTAATTTGGTAAGAAACTTTCATAATCTGCAATTATATACTACTAATAAATAAAATTTGGGATGAAATTCCCAAACAAATAATCAAAACTGAGTAACTAATATACATTTAATAATTGAAAGGCTATTAAAGAGTAATACAGCCAAACTGATAAACTTTACAGGATAAAAAAATATTAACTCAAACAATAAATTTAAAGTTTAAAAAACTGAGGATAAAAAAGGGATGTCCTTTACCTTAAAAATGGTTAAAATATTTATCAGTCAATGGTTAAGGGTGGGCTTTATCTGGATGTTAATTCACATAAACTAAGAATTAAAAATGACATTTATAGACAGTATTAGTTCATTGCTATCAACTGGGAATATTTTAGGGAACAGTACCTTTATGTGAAGTACATTGTGTTCAGAACTTGTAAAGATTTAAATTGTAAACAGGAATTTTGAAGACGTCCTCGTTAGGAAAGGACTGAACTTGTAATTTTAAGCATTAGATTATATAAGCATAAAATCATGAAATCATTATTTAAAAAATGAAAATGGAAGGGTAAGTGGAGTCATGATGTGGGTTCAGTAATACCATGTTAATGGCATTAACTAAACAAACAAAAGGTTAAATGAACTAAAGACTTCATTTAACATCTTTGTTTTTCAAATAAAATCCAGAGGATTTTTGTTCTCACCATATCAGTAACACTGTCCCTCTTCTTTTCAGAAGGACCACAAATTCTGTAACATCCTCATGCCCACGAGAACTTGATGGTAACCACTGTCTCTCTTAGTTACTAATAAGAGACTACTGAAATTAAGGGGGATATTTAGAACAAATTATAGAAGGTATTTCTCTATGCAGCATATAATCAGGTGTATAATTTAGATCTGCACTTAAAGATTGCTCTTGCTAGCTTTAAAAGAGGCTAGATGATAATGGTATGAATATTAATACTTTTGGATCTAGGCAAAGCAGCATAATGGCAAGCAGATCTCACGCTTCCAGGCATGGACTGATTGCCTACTTGAGTCAGAAAGGACTTCCCTTAACCACTGCACCAGAAATGAGGGCAGCGTGCGCTGGTTATTGTCACCTTTCTCTGGGTCATCAAAAAATGGCCACGATGGCCAACACCGTGACTTTGTCTAGTGAATCTTATGACCCATGTACCTGTGTCACTAGTTGAGTATTTCCACTTTTTCAATGATTTCTCTTTTTCATAGAAAAACATTCTCTCTCTCTAAAAGCTACAAAACTAAATAGTAGAAAGAGGAGGAAAGGACTTAACCCCAAATCCTATGAATCAAATTAAAACACTTGTTAAAGTTTAGGTGAACTTCATTCCAGTCTTTTGTTTCCATATAATTTTGATTATATAGTTTAGACAACTCTTGTCTCCTCCTTTTTATTTTGGCAATACTATCATATACACATTTCTCCCTTGTAAATTACACATACTATTTTAAATGTCACTTAAAACAAATGTGCATTATTCCAAGTCACTACATTACTGCTAACTTCAGCATTAGAGGTAGGCTCTTTACATTGTGGCATGGTGGTCAAAGCATCCAGCTGCGAACCAAGAGCCTGCTGGTTCAAACTCACCTGCTGCTCAGTAGGAGAAAGGTGAAGTGTGCTTTCCTCAGGATTTACCACCCCAGAAACTCTACCCACAATTCTACTCTGTCATGATCACAAGTCAGGAGGGATTCACAGGCAGTAGTTGGGTGTACTTTTTTACATTGGCTAAGTTATGTTTTTAATATATTTCTGTATTATTTCTATTTATTCCTACCAATAAAATAAAATCACCATGAACATCCTTATGCATAAAAAAACTTACTCTATGCTTAGAATTGTTTACCTTGGGATAGAGTTCCTATGTTGAATTATTAGCTCAGATGGCATAAACATTTATAATGCATTTATAACTTACATACAACAAATTACATCCCAAATATATGTAAAATATACAGCCACCAGCAAGGCAGGAGTCATCTTTTATACCACACTCTTGCCAACTCTGATTATGGTCATTGAATAATGCCTCCCATAATCTGATAGAAAAAATATTTATTCAGTAGTTTTAAATTTGCACTTCATTGATAAGCATTATAAATTACTATTTCTGTGTTTGTCAGTGACTTATCTGTTTAAGAATGTCATATTATTTCCATTGTCAGAGGATTCCTAATAATGCAAACCTTGCCTTATTTATCTTATACATATATATTTACTGAGTAACCACATGAATGGAGAACCACTTATTTTAATGCTTTCTTACTGTGTTTTTAATTACTTGATTACTTCATAAACTGCTATCCATGTTTTGTTATGATTGCTGTAATTTCCCCTACTTTCCCGTTCTATTACACCGATGATCTTTTGACACATTAAGATTTTAACTTTAATATATCACATATGCGAACATGTTCTTACTGGTTTCCTTAAAGATTCTAGAGTTGGTTTGGGGATTGTTTTTTTTTATAAAGAAGAATGTAGCATCAGGACCAGATGACGTATTACCTTATACAAAGGAAACAACTTTGCTTGCAGAAAGTGAAAAGACTTCAAACAGCTACTTTAGAAGATTAAAGACTATAGCCTTCAATATAGGTTACAGCGCAACACCAAGAGAACAAAAATTTTGACCACAGACCCAGTAGCCAACACCATAATAGAAGGAGAATAGATCAAATTGTCAACAATTTCATTTTACTTGGATCCACAATCAACAAAAATGGCACCAACAGTAAAAAAACAAACCAAAACCCAAAGACATACTACATTAGGAAAACCTGTGGCCCATGGTCTCTTCAAAGAACCAAAGAGGAAGGATGTCATTTTAAAGGCTAACATAAATCGGACTAACTCACTGTATTTTCAGTTGGTTCAGAAGCATATGAAAACTATTCTTGTTATGTGACTGTTGGAGTCAATTACAATTCATAGTGATCTTATGCACAATAGGTCTGAATCTTTCCCTACCCAGATGCAATCTCACTCTCTCTGATGCATCTGTCCTCATTACTCTAGTTACTGTGTCAATCCATCTCATCCTGGGGTCTTCTCCTGCCATGTGCCTCCACCTCCACCCTTCTCCAAGGACCGATCCTTCCTTCCAACATGCCCAAAGTATGTGAGACAGAGTCTCAAAATCCTTGCCTCCAAGGAGCAGCTTGGTTTCACTCTCTCTAGGACAGACCTGTTTGTTCTCTTGGCAGTCCATGGTGTGTTCAATACCCTTTTGTAGTACTACAACTCACAGGCATCAATTCTTCTGTCAACTTTTGTCACTCTCCAGCTCTCTGATGCACAGCAAGTAACTGCAAAGACTATGGCCTGGATCAGGTCCACCTTAGGGTGCATAGCAAATAACTTAAAAGGCTATGGCTTGGATTAGGCATATCATAGTCTTTAAATTGACATCCTTGCTCTTCAGCACTTCAGAGAGGTCCCTGACTGCAGACTTACCCAAGGCAACATGTCTTTTTGATTTCCTAAGTGCTAGTCGCAAAGTTGTTGATAGTGGATCAAATAATATGAAATCATTGACAATTCCAGGGTCAGTGACGGTTACAAAGCCCTAATGAGCAATGATATCAGTTTAAGGACTAAGGTGCACCATGGTGGTTCCTCCGCCCACTTCCACCAGTAACTTGCTATGTATCTGAGAGTTGGACTAGGAATAAGGAAGACAGAAGAACAACAAAAGCTTTTGAGCTGGGCTATTGGAGAAGAGTACTGAATGTTCCATGGAATGCCAAAAAACAACTATGTATATCTTGGAGAAAGTGCAACAAGAAGTGGACTCTTTAGAAGCAAGGATGCCAGAACTTTGTCACACATACTTTGGGCATGTTTTTAGAAGAAGGTATTTGTTGGAAAAAGACATCATGCTTGGAAAGTTGGAAGGTCCGCAAAAGAGAGGAAGACTCTCAATGAGACAGACTGATACAGTGACTGTGACACAATGCGTTCAAGTGCACTGGGGAAGATAAAGAACAATAATGTTATTAATTTATATGGAACTTATTTTAGTACCAAATAAGAACACAAATTTACTAATTTCAAAATTATTTAAGATGTCTGCTTTCATACATACTTTATTTCTGATCACAGGTTTGAAAATGAAATTGAAAAAATAAAAATACCAGTTCTCTCGCCACTGGACCAATTAGCAGCGTCAGGATGGATGACGAAGAGATTGAGAGTGTTCACAGCTTCAGTTTGCTCAGCTCCACAGTTAACACTCTTGGTACCAGCAGTCAGGAAATCAAAAAGCGTATCGCGATGGGAAAGTCTGCTGTTAGGGACCTCTCAAAGGTACTCAGGAGCAACAGTGTCTCTCTGGAGACTAAGGTGCGCCTAATACAGGCCATGGTATTTGCAATCGCTTGCTATGCATCAGAGAGTTGGACAATGACTAGGGAGGACAGAAGGAGAGTGGATGCTTTTGAGCTGTGGTGCTGGAGAAGGGTACTGAATGTACCATGGACTGCCAGGAAAACAAACAGATTCATCTTGGAGAGGATTAAACCAAGCTACTCCTTAGAGGCAAGGATTCTGGGGTTTCGTCTGACATACTTTGGACATGTTGCCAGGAGGGATGGGTCCTTGGAGAGGGACATCATGCTTGGGAGGGTGAAGGGACAGCACAGGAGGGGAAGACTCTCTATGAGATGGATTGATTCAGTGACTGGGGTAATCGGGATGGGTGTGTCAGAGGCGGTGCGGTTGGCGCAGGATAGAGCAGGGTTTAGGGCTGTTGTGCATAGGGTCGCTATGAGTCGGAAACGACTCGACGGCACATAACAACAACAACAACAAGCCCAGGCCTATGCACAAATCACTTGTTATGCATCAGAGAGTTGCACAATGACTAGGGAGGATAGAAGGAGAATTGAC